TACAAATAGGCAGAAGACATGTGTTACAGTGTTTGTGTTACCAAACAAATATCCTCTCATTTATCTTTTCCAATTTCCAAATGCAAATAAATGTGTCGGTCAATTGATGTGACATTAATGCCTTGTAAATTGTAATGTAACATTACATTTATGATAAGTACTGATAATAAAAGTACTCCGAATAGTCGAACCCTAAAAAATATTACTTTTGCTAGCGGAGTGGGTAATCATGTGTAGTATGTAAGTGACTAAGGAGAGTAAAAGTTATTTTTTGTTTTCTCTCTTTATAAAAGCTACTAGTGTTACACACCGGGTTATTATAAGATATGAGTATTGGATCGTTATTAATAATATTTTAATATAATAAAACTTTTAAAACCATTTTTTTTGTTCCACGTCAGTTAGATGATCACGCTACACATACTAGCGGGGAATAAAAAAATATTGGTAAATAAAAACGTTGTCAAATCATTGTCAATTTCTTAACTTATGTGGATGTAAAGAGTTGATATGTTTGACAGAACTATTAGGACGAGATTTTGCCAAGGAGCCATTAGAGATGCTATAAAAAAAAAAAAAAAAAACAACATAGCATGACTATTTAATAAAAAAACACACACATTTTTAAAATCTACTACAGTACTACTAAAGATATCCATATCAACAACAAAGTGACACTTGCATGGTTTTGTTATCCCAAATGTACACTTGTATGTATGTAAATGGGGGTTGATGAGGTTAGGCCTACTCTACACATTTTATACGTGTGGTTTGATGATTATGCACAGCAGTCCAATCAAGCAACAACAACCCACTGAATGGTTTGAAATTAAGCACTGCTGAGTGCTGACTGCCACCACCACGAAGAAGAAAGAGAAATCAAATTTGTTGCACTGAGACGCCGCAATTTAATTGCAATTGCAACAGCAACAACTCAAGTCGTCAACAACAATAAGTGCGTGTTGGATTTGGTGTCTAATATGCACACGAAAGCTGTAAAACATGGGACCACAAATGTTGCATAAAACATGTTAATTAGTTACGGTAAACAAGAGAGCTGGAGAGCCTTTGATTTTTTATTTAGAAGCACATGGATTAGTTCACATTTTTTGCAGCCTTTCATAAAAATACAAATAGGCAGAAGACATGTGTTACAGTGTTTGTGTTACCAAACAAATATCCTCTCATTTATCTTTTCCAATTTCCAAATGCAAATAAATGTGTCGGTCAATTGATGTGACATTAATGCCTTGTAAATTGTAATGTAACATTACATTTATGATAAGTACTGATAATATAATTACTCTGAATAGTCGAACCCTAAAAAATATTACTTTTTGCTAGCGGAGTGGGTAATCATGTGTAGTATGTAAGTGACTAGGGAGGGTAAAAGTTATTTTTTGTTTTCTCTCTTTCTCTT